TCATTTTATTTTTTCGTTTGATACTCCGTACTGTCGGCTACAAAGTCCTTATGGATCGGTTTTTCCAATGTAGTGCGCATTCAGAGAAAAACAACGAACAAACACGTCACCCTCAACTTTTTGTCCAATTTTCAAACGACTAAACCAAACGAACTCGGATTTTCAGGAATTGCGACAGAGTAGAGACACGCATCATTTAATGAAAGAATCAAATTTATAAGTAGTCTAGTCTCTAAAAAAAATGGATAAAACGTCATCGCGTCACGCTTGTGAAAGTCGATATATTTATATTAATAAAATATTTAAAATGAATTTTTCAGATATCATCAATACTTTGGTCAACGGATTATAAACAAATTGTAACTGGCCAAGGACATCCAAATAATTTTATACATATTTGGCATTATCCATCGATGACAAAATGTCATACATTACATGGTAGATAAATTTTAGTTGATTTTTAATTTAAAAATTTTTTTTCTTTTTAAGGTCATACATCACGTATTCTTTCATTAATAATGGGTCCAAAAGAAAATCCCATTGTGAGTTTATCAGCTGATGAGACAATTCGATTTTGGAATTGTTTTCCTGTTGATGTGCAACGAAAGAAAAAACTTGAAATGACACGTACACATTCATATCCAACTAAACTTAATTTCAATTGTCGATAATTATTATTATTATTATTATTATTATTATATTTTTTTTTTCTATAATACTTTTTCTTGTCAATTGGATTCTGAAATATTGTTCAAAAAAGCAAAAATAAATCAAATCATTATATTCATTCAGTAAAAAAAAGGAACTTTAGAAGACGAAGAATCCTATCTCATCTTATTATACATAAATATTTTTTTTTTTATGCCGAATGATTTGATAGAAAATAAAATGCGCATCATTCAGGAAAAGTCTGTCAAGTGTAACTTATCAGATTCTTCGAAATGACATATGACAAAACTTGTCTATGAATATTTAATATAAGATAAGTGTCAGTCTAGTGGCGTAAAGAATACCAGACGTGAATATGTGTCTGATAAGTTAATTCATGTCTTATTTAACGGCGTAATATATATATATATATATTTATTCATATCCATGTGGTGATTTTGGTTGTACTAGAGATAAATGAATTATGGAAGCATGTGCATGTCTTTTGTAAATGATTGATCGATAAAATACAATATAATTAATTATTTATATACTGTTGCGGTACTAGAAATGCAGTAGGCTTTTTTTCTATTATCTCACATGAGATTCTCTAATTTAGAAAATGCATCGACGCAATCATGAATAATAAATATTCACCTTGCACATCAGTAGCATTGGTATATTTTATTAATTGCGTCGAAAACAAACAATAAATATAATGAACGTGATGGTTGAATAGCGACAGCTAGTTTAGATAATGAAAAGATTTATAAAATTACTGACATTGATCGAGCTTGATACGTTATTTTTTTTCTTTATCATATTCTCTGACTTCTTCTTTTTTCTCTATCATTATTATTGACTCGACAAGCATACAATCGGCTATCTATCTATTCATAGCACACACATACGAGTAATATGAATAAATAAATCGAATAGATTCATTTCCTTTTTAACACTATTTAATATTTCATTTTATTATAATACAAAATTTGAATATCTATCCAAGATTTAAACTTGTTCTATTGATGTATAGAAGTAACATATTTAAGTAATAAGTAAGTTATTATTATACTTGTTTCTACTTATCAGGCTTATAAAAATATTAATAGAATAGAGAAAAAAAAGTGCAAAGATTATGTTGATTAATCCCCCCGAAGTTCTTTTTTTTTCTTTTTTTAGTTTAGGCTTATCTGATATCTATTGTAGAAGTAGCTGAACTTATATGTCGATTTTTACAAATAAACTATTTTATCATCGTTTAATTAATCAAGTTCGATAATGAGATAAAATATGCAAAATTTCTTAGCGTTAGATCTACTAAACAAAAGTATATTTAACTTCGACGCAGAAATAAAAAAAACAGTAGAGTGCCCTTAAATGTTGTTCATGTCGATTAAGCGGGGTATATTTTCTTTCATTCTATTAGGAAAGAAAACTCCTGTATCATATGAACATTTTGTTATCTATAAAACAAATTTAGAACCTATTTTTGACAAACATGAGTTCAATTTTTTTCTATTTTTATCTTTTCAAAAAAATACTCATTATGATTCTCTTCTATGGCTTGAAGTAGTAATAAAAGTTATCATACATTGTTTGTCTTAAAAGTTTAAGGTCGCTAAGACCCGTAGATTACTACTTTAAGATGCGTGACATTTATGATCATATTTCATAGTGTCATGCACGATTAATTAATGTTAGGAAAATGAGTTTCCGATTATTCACGATTTGATGGCATATGGTGCATATCGAAATGAAGAATCAGAATCGGAAATAGTCATTTTTTCCGATCATAATGATTTGACTGGGTCAGAGAATATCGTGACCGAAACAAGATGCGATACTCCACTCTTGCATAATTTCTTTTCACTTCAAAGACCAAGAACAAATAATTCATAGGAATTTTTTCTAAATTTTTGCAAGAATAAACTATACAGTAAAATCCAACAATTTTTTACTTCATCAAAAAAAGAAATAATTTTGTTATAAAAGCCGACAATTGAAAAAAATATCTGATCTTTGGTTTTAAAAATAACTTTTTAGTATTTTTTTTTCATTTAAAGAACTTCTTTATTGAATAGATGACATGAAGGTGGCTGCCTTTGATGGTAAAATCTATTAATAAACATCACTTGTACTCGATGTTGTTTTCGTCTATTGGCAAAAAATGCCATAAGGTAACACAGTTTTTTTTTTCAGTCCACTTTGAGAGCCACAAGTACAATTACCTTTTTTTTAAATACACTTAAAACTTAATTGCGGAACAATGTTCTATTTTGCCTTTTGAAAAGCTTGACTTTGATCAATAACTATTAGCGAGAATGCCTTCAGTGTTTGAAATATGAACAAAATCGTTTAAAATTTGATAAGATGTTAAGTTTTTTTTTCTCAGAAGACTCAAAAAAAAATCGGCTTTATTTCTATTTTGGAAAGCATTCCGAAGTCGAGAACATTAGTTGTACCATAAGGAGCAAAATAAAGCAAATAACACTAAGTCTCTTGTGGAAAAAAAAAAGAATATGGTTCTATCCACTAATCTTGATTAACTCGGAACATTACGATATATCGCTCTTTTGCTTGTCGATTTTTTGCATTGTTATATTCTCGAGTGCATCTTTTTTTCTCTTCTAATATGTATTCACTTTGTGCAATAACTTTATTAAGCTATAGTGTATATGCTCTAAGTATACACGACAAGAAATTAGTTAAAAGAAGTCTTTTTTTTTTTTTTCTATTTTCAAACATATTCGATTGAAGAAAGTTTTTCTTTGTACATTTTCTCAAAGTTTGAAGGAGTAGAGCCAATTCAGAATTTGATCGATCGTCTATTCATTATTATTCAGTCAAAAATTCGATGATTGTATGATTACTATTCAAGATGCGGCCGAGCTCGATGAATAGATAATGCAGATTTTATATTATTATTTTGAAACAACAATGTCCATTTCCGGTCTGATTTTCCGACGAGCAAAACCAATTAGTTATTTCTTTTTTTCTTCATTCGATCGTTATATACTCATAAAACAAAAGCAACTCTCTTAGCCTTTTTTCAATAAAAAAAATATTCTTTTTTACGCATTCTATCCATTTATCTATCTTCGCAATAGATATATATTATTATTATTATTATTATTATTATTGACTTTGCTTTTTTTTAATCAGTCTTATGAAACTTGTCTACCAACATTCTAAATATAAGTTATTGCGGATATTAAGACTTCAGTTGAAGGAGATTTTTTCTTTCTATAATCAAAGACCATCTATCGCATTTCCTTTCTTTTTTTTTTTTTTATATAAACAATAATAATTGAACTACATTTCTAATAGAAAAAAAATCGATAATAAGCATGGCAGCATAAACAATAGACGAAGTACCAATAAAAGAATATAGAATAGTTTAATAAGGCCATTCTATTTACGTTAATAGTAAATATGAATGCGTACTGTATGCTACTTTTTTTTTAAATAAAGGACATAAACAGGAAGAGCGTCTAACAATGTCTGTCTCATTTCTTGCGTGATATATTTGTTTTTCTCGCTGATGTGGATGTCAAACTCATTTTACTAATGAATCATTATAGGTAATTTTTTTTCATGATATTGAATAAATAATCATTAAGCTGCAGATGATGAATCATGCGTGCTAATCGTCTAGAGATGAAAAGAAAAAAATAATTATCTTGTCAATATTAATAGATGAAGTTTTTATTCACAGCAAGAGAAAAAAAATAATAATAACGTGGATACTTTTCATTAATTAATAGAATGTAATAATGATACCTAAAAGGAAAAAAAGAATTTCGCTTCATATTATTATGTTTTCTCAGCATTTTTTTATTTTTAGTTTATTAATAAAGGAAGTTATGACATATTTTAAATTTTCTTCTTTTTTGTTTTCAAGAAATTTACTGCTAAATAAATAAGACAATCGGTAGTATGCATTGTTTGTTTTTCGATGAAAGAAAAAAAAAAAAACAAAGACATGATGAAAAGCTCAATCCTTATTTACGTAAATGAAAAAAATTATTTTACTTCTTATGTGTTCTTCATTTTTACTGGGTTCTCTCATGGCACATGCACATTTTCTTTTGCACATCGTATAAACTTAATAAAAAAAGATAAGCACATGACAAAATTGACTATTTTTCTCTTTATAGATACGGAATTTTATTGACATCCGTTCTCTTTTATGATCATCTATTATTATTAAACAAATAGAATTTTCAAAAAAAAAAAAGAAAATCTATTCTTGAACTTATATTCAACATCACATGTATTCTAATGGTCTTGTTTTTATGACAAAAGAATAATAATAATATATTAAACAGATAAAAATAAATATTACATGAATGAATTCAATGAACATAACTTCGACTGTAACACAAGATTTATCGAATAATGAATGGACTTGGTCATTGAGATCAATTATTGTCCTTACAATATGTGGTCTAATTACAATATTGACAATATTAGGTTAGTTGAAGCTTAATTCTATATATATATATATATATACATTTAATTTATTTCTATAGGAAATGGTCTGGTATTAATTTCAGTTAAACTTCGCTTTCATGCTCGATCTTATTCTGATTATTTTATTGTGAGTTTATGTTTAGCAGATTTTTTTGTTGGCCTCTTTGTTATGCCATTTATGACAATACATTCAGTTTATTTACGTTGGCCATTTCATTATCGTCTTTGTTATATATGGATGTCAATTGATTTTACTTGTTCAACAGCATCTTTTTTAACACTTGCTTCAATGGCCTTAGATAGATATTATGCACTTACTAGTAGTTATTAATTCATCTTTTTTTTTTTGCTTACTTAAATCTTTGTTTTTTTTTTCTCTGCATTTTTTTAGCACCATATTTTCATTTACGTAATCGATCATATTCATCAGTATTAATTTTTATTATAAGTTCATGGGTTATACCTTTTGCTATATGGCCATGTTCAATATTTCTTGCACATCAGTTTAGTTCAACGAAACCAGAATGTGTTCATCCAGCACATCCATTTATTATTGTTATATTATGTACATGTTTTTATTATGTTCCTCTTTTATTTATGCTTGCTTGTTATTCAAGAATTATAGTTAATATTAAAAATATTGAAGTTATGGTAAGTAATCAATTTCTACTGCTTAGTTTTATTATTTACTTAAAGATAATACTAAAGAATTCTATTAACAAAACAAAAAAAACAAATGAAAAGAATACGAATAAAAATAAATAAATTATATTGAGTAATTAATTTTTTTTTTCTATATAAATCAGATGATAGATCGAAAAAATTTATGTAACCTAATTATATTCATAGTTATACAAAAATAAAAAAGATATTTTAAGAATTAATGTTTTAATTGTTCTTTCTGCAAAGCTAAAAGAATACAAATGTTTTTCAAATATGATATAAAAGAGTGTCTTACAGTAGGAGCATTATGTCAGAATTAATGTTACTATTAATTAATATTTATGCTAATCTGACAGTTCTGTTTCAAAGCCTTAATAATATCATTTCATGGATAATCTATCATTATTTCTATTAAAAACTAATGCATATTAAATTTTTCGAAAACACCATTTGAATACTGTAAGAAATCTAGAACATTAATACTCTATATAGAATTTATGAATCCTTCAATCAGCTTTTGCTTATATTTTAATTCATTGAAACGAAATTTAACTATTTGATTTTATGAATAATAACATTTGTATGTGTTATTTATAATTGGAAATCTAAAGGTAGTAAAATTTAAATTTACTAATGGAGTACTAAGAATGTATGCACACTCAAAATAGATTATTAAGTGATATTATAAGTTTTTATATTAGTTACAAATTGGTTTTCTGAAGAAAAAATCTCATGCGAAATGATCATTATGGGCAGTCAGATTCTTTGACCGAGCCCAAATTTGACTCATTAATTCTCATAAAAATTCACTTTTCTATAAATACTTAGTATACTCTATAGTGCTTAGTAATATGCATTTTCATTAAAACGCAGTGCCTGATCAGACGGAATGAATAGCATTAATTTGGCTGAAATAGAAAATATCAAAAAAGTTTATTTTGAGATTCTTAATTATCGAGATGAAGATATTTTTGTTGTATACAAAAAAGGAAGAGACATATAAGTCCACAAACAAGAGATAATAGATAGTACGAATGTGAATATCAGTCGTCTGTTCACACCCTTAGTAGAACTGCTCATTGGTATTTAGAACATTTTTGACATTGTTTGGTGATATACATTCCTTCACCATTTGTATACGATTGATATATTTTCTTTCGGTCAAATTGATCTATACCGATGTAATAGGGCTTAGTACTATTCATTTTCATGTAAAAGTTTTTATCAGTAGGCAAGCATTAAGATCAAACTACAGCTCTGTTGAGCAAGATGGCGTCGAAAAATTAGCAACCTTGATGAAGAAATATTGATTTAATTAAAAATGAATCAGAGGAATATCACTTGATAACAGAGGTGGGTACAGAAAAGGACGGTCCTGTGTTCACCTCTGTTTTATATATTTTTCCTGTTTCTTTGTATCAATTTTGTTATCAAGTATTTTTTCATTGATCTATTTATTTTTGTTAATAATATCAAACATATGTTATGATAATTATGAAAAAACTTGACAAGTTCATATTTTTTTTAATATTCGTTTCCTGTGATGAACCTGACATTAAAATAATAAAATCAAGATGCTTCTATATTTTCTTGTACTTAAAATATTAGTCATTATTGAAAATTTTAGTTTTTGTACTTGAAAATGGTATGAAATAAATTAGCTATAAGATCACAAATAAACTAGTATGTATTTTGGTGATCGAAAGTCAAAATAAGGATTCTTATTGTCTTATGTCGAGCTTTGCTTGCTAGTCTTATTGAGCACTCCATGTTTTACAATTGATACTTATTGCATAGAAGTAATAATTATTTCAAAAGACTATACAAGTTTTAATAAGATTAAAAAATATTGCTCAGCATTATATCGTCCTGTTAAACACTATGTTTTACTGATAATGCATGTCGCTAAGTACACTAGGGAGTGTACCAACCTTTTATAGAATTTCTGTTTTTTTTTTTAGAGAAGCTAATGAAAAGATATTTGAACGTCAGAAAGTTATTTTTTTATGAAAGCAGCTAATCTGGTCGAAAATTTCAGGGAATATGCGTCGATTTTTAACAGTTCAGAGTAAAATTTTCAATTGAAAGGCATTAAACTATTTGTAATTAATTAAAATATGAAATGTAAAAAAGAAAAGTATTACACAACATTGTATAAGATATAGATCATATTTCATAATTGTTAATTTTTCTTTCCCAATAAATTCTATAACAAATGGTTATTAACATTGAAGATCTTTACTTATTTCTCTATAGATCAAAGATACATGGAGTACATTTAAATTCGATCCTGTTGATCAAGATTATAAATCATCATCAACAACAACAAATAATGATTATGGTGGTACGATATCTAATGATAATAATAGTCATAAAATAACATCATCATCACCATCGGATACAACATTATGTTCATATGTTTTACGATATTTTCAACGAAATTCTGCAAAACGATCTATGCAAAATTCACAAATATCGAGAAATGAAGGTTTATATTTTGCACAAAATATAACAGCTACTTGTCAAATTAGACGAGGAACCATAGTTAATAATGGAATAATATCTAATACATTATCACCGATGCCTATTCATCGTTCTAATCGACAAACAACAACAGCAACTTTTACAGGACAAAAACGTTGTCTAAATGAACTTATTGAAGATAATCGTTCAAAACCGGATTTATTAACTAGTCAAGAAGAAGAACAAATTGTTCGTACACGTCTCAGTAGTCGTACATCATCTTTACCGGGTGCTCGTTGTATATCATATTATTATTATCAAAATCAAATACCATCTCAAACAAGAGTAATCGATGAACAATATCGTTCAAGAATAAATTCTTTAACAAATGAACGAAGTCGTTCACAATCACATTCATCTAGTCAAGGTAATGGTAATGGTGGTCTTGTAACAACAGATATATCTGATCATAGTTCATCATTTGAAAATGTTCTTGATGATGAACATCGTCGTTTAAATCGACGTAATCAACCATCACATTTATCAGCATCATATAATTCAAGTCGTTATAGTCAACGTGCTGTTGCTAAATTTATGCATGAAAGAAATAAAGCAAGATTAAGACGAAATCAAAAAGCAAGTCGAATGCTTGGTAAGATCATTTCCTTTAGAATAATCTTTATTGTTATCTAAATCATATGACTTAAAAAAAGAAATCCTTAACGGAAATTATTAGGATATGAATATCATGTGAGATAATGATTTTTTTTTTCTCTTTATTGGATATTTCTATTTACAATAAAATAATAAAAACAAAATGCTTTAAAATCATGCACAAAATGGCGTCATATTTTTTGCACATCACTGGCAAAAAAAACATCCTAATCAATATTTATAAGTTCAGTGCATGCAAAATAATGCATTGCGTAGGATGTTTCTAAGAATCTAAGAAAGACAAAAACACGAAACAATGTAATTAACATATTCTATTATTTTGATATATATTTACTATAAATTATATCAACACTTATTTTTGATTTACATTTAGGTATTTTACTTGCTGTCTTTCTTATTTGTTGGCTTCCGTTTACAATATCTTATCCAGCAATGATATTTTATCGAAGTCAATTTCCTTCTCAACTTGAAAGTATTATATTCTGGTTTGGCTATGTTAATTCTTTACTCAATCCTTTTTTATATGTATACAGTTCACGTACTTTTCGTCAAGCTATTGTTGAAACACTATGTTGTTTTACTCGATTAAGATCAAGACAACATTTACGATACCAATGGTCACTTCGTGATTAAATTATTTCAATATGCACAGTCATACTGTCAACATAAACTCTGGTTTCTTTTTTTCTGTATATGTTGTATCATAATCTAAAATTCTATTTTGATTAAATAATAAATCAATTGAAATAGTGTGAGTTATTGTATATAGTCAATCTGCAGAGTGACAATCTCTTTGAAAACGATATTATTTATACTAATGAAATAAAATTAGAGACAGACAACGCTGAAGTCAATAAATAAAACGGTTTTAATACTAACCCCTGAATGTAGATTTATAATGATTTGATAAAGTAAAGGATTCTTCTTTTCTATTATACATAAAGGGTGTTTAATAAGGCTTGATCCTTTTCTTACATGTTTTTTTCAGTAAAATAGACTGATATTGACAGCATATATGCTAGACATGTTGATCTACTCTATGCTAAAATTTAAGCGTTCCACCTCTCATAATCACAGAGATTTCAAGTAACTTTAAAAATTCAAAGAAATTTTTTAAATTGTTTGTGAGGCTTTTTCTGCCTTTTTTTATGACAGATGTTAAATCACAACCAATGGATAGAATGATATTTACAAATCGAAATTATTTAAACATAATCAGAAGAAAACGTATATCAATATTTATGTATCTACTCTCTATATTGATCTATCATTTGTTTCAATTGACTCGGTAATTTCCCCAACATTTGTTCGCATTTCACAATTTTGCACGACTCGACTTTCCGATTCTCATTCATATTCAAATTTTTCTCCTCTCCATTTTTTCTTCAACTACACCCAAACTATCTCATTTAGCTAAATATCAGTCACTTTTATATCAACAAAGATTCAATACTATTCATCACAACTGTTGTTCAATGTTTGCTATTCTGATCATCATGAAAAATCAGGACCAAGTTAATATTTGTAAAAAATAACACTACGCAGGAGTAATACGCTGAAAACTAAAAGTTATTCTTTACAAATGATTCATCAAATAACTACAGGTGTTTCATTCATACTGGTTGTAAAACTAATTCCAAAACAAAACTACTATGAATTTTATGTTACTTATATCACTGTGACAATAAGAGATAGAAGGTTCAAATTCTAGTATATAATAGATTTAGATGCCTAGTCTATATACTGAAAATATTAGACTATTCTACAGCAAAAACACAAAAGAAAAGATTATTACTTTAAAGAGATGAAAGTTTATTAGGCACTTTCTATACACTTTCAAGAGAAACATTGATATGCAAAAATGTTATAGGAAACTTTTCTTTGTAGCCTAGTCAGTACTTTGATAGGCAATTTCAAAGAACAAAATGTTTCACTTGCACAGCCACAATTCATATTGTTCACTGTATTTCTACATCAAAATGATACTCGAATCGAGACGCATGCAAGAAAACTACCGATTTCTTGAGTAAACAATTCATAAACCTCGACCACATTTATCACGCAATGAAGGAACATCAATTTGAATTGTTCAACGATTAACCATAAACGAAATTGCTGTAGACGCTTTGTTCATTCCCCAAAAGCTCTTATCTTCAATTGTACAATCAAAGTGTTAGTCTCCTGATTCAATAGCAAGGAGAATTTCTTCATTCGAAGCAAGTATATTCGAATGTCGAATATTAAATCTTTTGATGCAGAATTAAACTCTGTATCTGATGCATTTCTTCCAAATGGCCAAATACACATGTACGCTGAGGAAAAACAATTATCTTTCTGGATATTGTCAAAAAATCAATTATGTAAAATCATTAAAGAAAAAGCTTCTCTGATTGTCCGAAAAGTCAATGCAACTCATACTCTATGAACCCGTACTGTAAGAAGTGCTGCATTTATTTAATGTAGCGATCTTCACTAACAACCATACATTGCCAACGAAGACGCAAACTGCTTATGCCATTAGAAAAAAGTGCCGAATTAAGATCATTCAAGCAATCTTTGACAAGTGTAATCACTTCATCCTTAGAGCTAAAAATTTTGCCACACCCAAATTTCTTCATATTTGAGAACATGAAGTAATCAGAAGAATGACTCAACTCGAGTGTGCCCTTCTGCCGAATGGCAGCCTGCACAATATTGTACTTGTGAACTGATGCGTTGCTATGAAGAAGGAGCACTCCATGGCTGATTTTTCCGTTGTGCTTTTCTAAGATGATAACGCGTACTTACTTGATGAGTGATGCATAATAGAAACTAGTGATCGTCTCTCCATGAACCAGGCAGTTAGTGAATAGTGCGCTATCCTTATCTCAGAAAATAACCAGCCTGACTTTATGTGTGTTCTTCTGGCTTCTTCCAGACCTTGAACTCTGGTGTGCTGAGTGAGTTATAATAGTGTACCCAATATTTATATCCGGTTACGATGCGGCCAAAAAATGTTGCAGATTTGATTCACTTTCTTACAATAGCTCTAGACAACATTCCACTTGGCTGGTGCGTTGAAGTAACGTCAAGAATTTTGAAACCCAACGTATGCAGATCATGCATATGTCTAAGTGATTGCTCATGATCTCGTACACAATGACTTTTGGTGTACTCAATTTATTTGCTACGCGGTGAACAGAGACTTGTCGATCATGGATTACAATGCGCTCCATGGCTTCAATGTTTTCATCGGTGTTTGTTGCCGCCGGACGACTACTTCTCAATACATCTTCAAAGTCACATGTCAAGTTCTTGAATTCAACCACCCATTTTGCAGCGGTGCAGTACGCTTGAGCAGTGTCCTCATAAAACATTTTCCAGCTGCTTAGTGATTTCTATAGCATTTAGTTCTTTTTAACTAAAAAAAATTTTTGACTGTTCGATGTTCAATATTTGACTTATTCGAAGCAGAAATCAACACTGTGTATTTATTCCCAACAATTTCTCTTCATCCAAATAATTCATCGAATATGTCTCGCTCGCACACCTTGGTATATGAAGCACGTATAACGAAACAACAGAAACGAAGCAATCAGAGAAGATGCATATGAATGTATGACATACTTCATGAGAGAACAAATAGCATGCAACGAAGAAAGAGACCGGCTATGAAAATTAATTTTTTTCTTAGAATATTTTGTTATTAACCTAAAAAACGTGTGGATCATAGTAAAAATTCGCGTTCCATACAATAGAGTTAACTAAATGACTCATGCACGAAGTTTAGATGAAGTTGCACGAACTTTTCGAATAAACAGATTATATCTTGGCAAGCATGTCGAGCTTATCAGTACGGTCTGACTCGATGCAAAATTTTGTTCTAAATTTGATTTACTCAATGCGAATAATCTGACGTATTTCGACAGTCAGCAATGGCAAAAACTGTTTTTATTGATAATCTTATCACGTGCTGATAGATAGGCCTAGGATATTTCCTTATCAGTTTTGATCTTGAGAATTGTTTCAACAGTTCTTTGATAGGAACTAGAGGAAGTAAGTAACGGATCCGTTGCTAGTTGCCTGGCAATAGTAACTTTCCTCTCATATTGGTCAGTATACACAGTTCTTGAAAAGGAACTGGTGACTTTGACCAGTTCTTGGAAAATATGCAGCTCATAGAAGTGGGAACTGTCCTTGGCCTAGTGATGGAACATCATTCAAAGTGCACTTTCTTTCTTCTAACGTGTGCCCAATTTGTTGTTGAGATCTGAGTCGACACGAAATTTAATTCTGCCTCTTCTATATCTACATCCAACATCGAACAGACTTCGGTGTTGAAAATAAACAAATATGATTTTCTCAATTTTGTCAACATATATAGATGATACATGTAGAAGACTTGATTTACTTCTCTAGTGTATGAGTTTGGTAAACAGAGACATCAGCAATCGATTACGATTGTGTTTGGGAGATGCATTGGTGTCGGGCTTTGATTTTGAAAGTCTTCTCAATAATTTGAATGCAGTGAGCGAATGCTTTTTGTATTAGTAATAAATATTTTGGTGGTAGTTATTGAGAGCATTCATGGTCTTATTTTTTGTCCTCTATAATAATGTTTTGTATCTCTTGATTTTCTCATTGATTGATTCTGTCAGAAATAGAATTGTATTGCTCTTAGTATTTTGCTAACTTATCATTGATCTTGATCTATTGTCCCACAAGTATATGCTTTTTCGTGTGAGTACACCACTAAAATAAGATATCTCGAATATCCTCTTTAATGTGAAGAGCGGATGTAGGTCTTAAATGTGGATATGCCATCCACATATCTACAGCCCTCAAATTATATAAAGATATGTCACAAATATCACTCGTGCGAATGATGAAAAGTCCACCTCTAAGTAACTTCCGCATAAGACAAATGAGAGTATCTGATTCATCACAGGTGCTTTTTTTAATTACCTACAGGCTACTACTTCCACTTAAGCAAATACTATGCATCATATTTTCTTCTTTGTTTGTTTATGCTATGCATCAATGATCATTTTACGCGTTAGTCACATGATTAAATTATAATAATGCGAGAGAATATTATCCTTTTACGAGTTATATCTCCATTGACTCATAACATCGTGGCAAGTCGTGGAGAAATCCGTATGATTGACGCGAAGAATTAACCAAAACAGATGGGATAGTTGTGCTTTGATAGTGTTGTACTTCGTCTTATATATAAGAGCAGTGTAGCGTCTTTTTTGTGTGTACACAAACAAAATATAAACGTACAGATACATTCGAAAACATTCAGTAACTATGAACCAACGACATATCATTTTATACATTTCAATTACAATGATGGTAGTTAATGTCTGTGCAGGTGACTTACGAGTTGCAATAAGCTCAGCACAGTCGACACCTGCAATGAGATCCTTTCATTGAATTCAAAATCAAAACCCTCAATATTTAGAATAGTTAAAATTTACAAAATCCAAGAATGATATAAGCACTGCTATTATTTACGAGCCGTTTCTCGTTATTAATGAAACCTATCCAATAATCTTTGGTTTCCCGCTACCTGATTGCTAAGAAGTGAGGAAAGTCGCAAAAACTTCGATTCAAACTTCCACTCGTGTTCTTCTTCGAAAATATTCATGAGTTCCACAAAAAAAATTCAAACTTCTAAACGAGATTTGATGCGATAGGAAGTAAAACTTATAAAAACAGCCATTGCAAGTGGATGCAGATGATAAATTTGATAATTTCAATTACTCAGGTTTCCATAATAAAAAAAAATATCTGAATTACTATTAATCGACTATTTTATGCTTAAACAAACTTCTATTAATGATTTTCAACTGCTCAAGGCAATATTCCATATCGCACTGCCATCCATATACCAGTAATAGATTGCCAACGAAAGGACAGCTATCTTTATTTTGCGCTAGAATGGCGACCAGAGGATAGACAAGCATATAAGTATATAACCATCGTCGGTGTAGCACATATTATACCGAACGATCTTTCCGCGGTTTTTCTCTGACTTGAGTCACACGAATTGACTTCTTATTTTAGTTACTCCAAGAAAAAGGATTCTAAACTTAGATCTTGTCGGATCCGATGGGATCATATTGAATTTGTATCTGTACATTAGACATTGTTTGAACTCTCTCCTACTTCTTTCCTCTTGTATAATTAGCTGTAAATTAATAGCTTAAATGTACTTTATTTTGACCTATTATTGCCTGCAATTGTTCAATAATAAATTTAAAATAAAGAAAAAAAAGAATCAATAATTTACATTCACTTCATATCGTAATATAATCTGAGTTATAAAATAAAATTAATGATTTATACTTACTGTTTACTGAATTGTGTAGCTTTCATTTGCACTATAAACAGCCATTTAGAAGCGTAGATATATGACCTGGGCTAGCCAGAAAATAACTTCGCATCGTGATAAAAAGTATTATAATTATATTTCGCATGTTGTCTAATAATCACAAAAAGCAAAACTAAATATTTTAATACCATCGAATTTCGTTGTATTTAACATGTTCTCAATGTTAGATATCACTGGATTCGATGGAGTGATTTCGACTTGACCAATAGAAGACTTCTTATGATCCTAATAAAAATCTGAAAAGCTTTGCAATGTTCTATTATATAAAGTCTAATGGCATCCGACAACATAACATGTTTTGTAGTCCATCGTCTAGTGACTCAATGAAAGAGGGCGCCAATAAATATGCCGATAAGTTTTAAATTAGACCAATACACAATTTTATATATAAATATATGTCCTCAGAAGAAAAAAAAGTATGAGAACTACTCGAAAAAAAAAGCAAATGATATTCGATTAATATTAAAAAGTAATATGAGTGAATATAATGCAGATATTCAACAGGATGAATATGATGAATCAATAAAAGATGATGAAAATGACGATATACTTGATGATCTAAATAATATAAATGATGCTGAAGTATTAAATTTTGTTTTTTTTTTGTAAATTTAAAACCTATTACATTTCGTTTTTCTTTTGTAAAAATCAACAACATAGGATGATTATCATTTTATTACTGTTGGTATATGTGCACAGTGGAAAAAAGTTAAAGCAAAACCAATGGAAGAAATTTTAAATCGTTTAGAACAATTTGAATTTCTTCGTACAATTGTTTTTCCTGAAACAATAATACATGAAAAGCCTATTGAAGAATGGCCATTTTGTCATGTTTTAATTAGTTTTCACAGTAAAGGTTTTCCACTTGCTAAAACACAAGAATATGCACGTCTTCATCAACCATTCCTTATTAATGACCTTGGTAAACAATGGGATATTATGGATCGTATTAAAGTACATGAAATACTTGATGATGCAGGCATTCCACAACCACGTTACGGTGTCCTTCGAAGATATAGGAATGATGGTTTGTAAAGAACAAAATAGCACATTAAAATTTCTTTATTATTTCTAGATGGTACATGGATAACATTGTCAAATGTTATTGAACAAGATGATCACATTGAAATTGATGGTGAAATATTTCATAAACCATTTGTAGAAAAACCTGTATCCGCTGAAAATCATGATGTTTATATTTATTTTCCATCATCAGCGGGTGGAGGATCCCAAAGATTATTTCGCAAGGTAAATATAAAAATCGATTGCTTTTAAATATTAAGATAATACTACTAATGTTTTCAAATTGAATTCAATTTATGGTTTCAATACAATCAACAGGATATTTTTTGATTCATTGGGTTTATTCATGGAAAAATTTGTAATACAATCTCTTCATATATACTGTATTATATGAACGAATCTTAAAATTGAATTACGATTTCATACAACTATTAATTTATTTTGAAACCGATCGGATCGAATGATTTATAAGTTTGAGACTGAACCTTTGGAATCTGAAATTTAGCCAAGATTAATCCTGCGATAATTTAAAGAAAAAAAGACAAATTTCAACCATATTCTTTCCTTCATGTGATGTAGTTTACTGTGAATATTTTTCTTTAGATTGGTAGTCGAAGTAGTGTTTACACACCAGAAAATAGTATTCGTAAAGATGGTTCATATATTTATGAAGAATTTATGCCAACTGATGGTACAGATGTTAAAGTATGTATTTCTATAATATATGTTTTTTTCTTAGAAATTCTAGTGATTGACTATTTATAGGTGTATACGGTAGGCGCTGAATATGCACATGCTGAAGCTAGAAAATCGCCTGGACTTGATGGTAAAGTTGAACGTGATGAATTTGGTAAAGAAGTTCGTTATCCAGTTATATTACGTGCTGATGAAAAATTGATTGCAATGAAAATATGTTTAGCTTTTAAAGTAAATAACATTGATATTTTAATAGTACACAAAAAAACAATTTTTGTTTTCGTTGTTTTTTTTTTCAAGCAAACTGTATGTGGTTTTGATTTGCTACGTGTTGAAGGAAAATCATTTGTATGTGATGTTAATGGTTTTAGTTTTGTTAAAAATAGTACAAAATATTATGATGATTGTGCTTCTATTCTCGGGTAGATATTTCTTCAATTTATTTAAGAACAAAGAAAAAGAATATGATTTTTCGGACTTTGTTTTTCTAAAGGCATATGATTATGCGTGAACTTGCACCAACATTATCTATTCCTTATCCATTAGCTTATCAACCAGAAGATCCACCGTTTGTACCAACTGCTTTTGGAACAAGAATGGAACTTCGATGTGTTATTGCCGTTATTCGACATGGTGATCGAACACCAAAACAAAAAATGAAAATGGTTGTGTTACATCCATTGTAAGATATGAAATTTAGTTAGAGTTAATATTGAATGTTTTTTATTTGAAAGATTTTTTCAATTATTTGAAAAATATAACGGTCCAAAAAATGGTCATCTGAAATTGAAACATCCCGGTCAACTTCAAGTTTGTTTGCTTGCGTTTTTTTTTTTTTTGTTTAGATTTTTATATTGAATTTTTCTTTTTATAGGAAGTTCTTGATATTGCTCGAACATTACTTAAAGAATTGGATGATAATCGAATAACTGTATAATACGGTGTTTTTTTGTTTTTTGGATTTATAAATATTTCGTATTTTCATAGAAATTTCCAAATTCATCTGAAACAAAAGAAAAATTACTTCAACTTAAACAAGTACTTGAATTATACGGTCATTTTTCTGGTATAAATCGTAAAATTCAATTAAAATATTTATCAAAAGGTCCACCAAAAAAATCCAGTAGTGAAGATGGTAAGAATTGATTGAAATCAATTTTTTTAACTGAATACTTTGATTTGATTTATTTTCCCTAAGAAAAATATCATATCTCTCTTTCACATTTGCCTATTTCAGTGTATTATTCAGTTCACCTATAAATAGATAGTAAAACAAAAGATTTAAGATCGATTGAGTGACATTAAATAGAGATTTAACAGTGACAGCAATATACCTGTCTTATATTGAACACAGAACTTTTTTTTACTGGATTTTTTAACCGAAACCGGTGATTCTCCTCAGGTCGCCATGAAAATCGAATTTAAAATTTCGACTTGAAGTTTTCACTGATTTTAGTGTTTCTCTTTCGAAGACATCACTATAATTTTATAATGAGTTCAAAGTTAGTTTTATAAACATATTTCTCGAACAGTGTATCACTGTCATCGGTGGACTCGTGCATCGATGATCGCTACCATCCTTGCCTCCCTAGTATTAAGCCTCATGGAGATTCAAACATAGACATTATGGAAACTCACCAATAAGACTCACAAACCAAAGTTTGGCTAAATCATCAGCCGTGTACTTTCGCCAACTTTTGTGTAATTATAACTTCCGTATTGATTAAAGAGATATGTATCAATTATACTCGTGAGTACAAGCATCAAAATACATTTTCATAATCTTTGGCATAATTCTTACACATGTATATGCTACATTCCTACTGTTCTACAATAAGTGATGAAAGTTAGTTCACCAAACCGTTGGCGAAAGTCTTGTTGGTGCAGGACCGATTTCCAAACAAAGATTGAAATCAAAATCAAACTGGTTCTAATCTCCTTATCATATTCACCTAATATTTCTATTTACATAGATAGCATTTCTATATGAAATTTATTATCTAAAAATGAATCCATTGGTTTATTGTTAATCAATTAAGAAAATAAATTTTTATTTTTTTTAATCAGAAACTGATGATGTACCAAGTCAACCATCACTACTGTTAGTTGTCAAATGGGGTGGACAATTAACTCAAACAGGCAAAAATCAAGCTGAAGCACTTGGCAAAGTAAATGATATTTAATTATGATTTAATTATATTCAATATTGATTCTATTAGGCATTTCGTAAAATGTATCCTGGTGGTCAAAATGCTTGTGGTGATCGACCTGATGTCGGTCTTCTACGTTTACATTCAACATTCCGACATGATTTAAAAATTTATGCATCTGATGAAGGTCGCGTACAAATGACAGCTGCTGCATTTGCAAAAGGATTATTAGCACTCGATGGTGAATTAGCACCAATACTTGTTCAAATGGTTAAAAGTGCTAATACAAATGGTTTACTTGATAATGATGTTGAGTCAACAAAAGAACAAGAAAAACTTAAAAAAACGTTGCATGAACTTTTAGCAAAAGATCGACAATTTACACAAGAAGATTATGATACAGTTAGTTATGAAATATATGCAGAGAGAAAAAAAAAATTTTTCTTTTCTTTATGTTAAATAGATAGCACCAACTCGTACACGTTCATTGATTACATCAATGGATTTTATTAAAAATCCCGTTGTTATATGTCGAAAAATTATTGAATATATTCATGAAATGACTGTACTTATTCGAACACATTTACTTAACGATGGAGAAGGTATTTCTCTAGAAATGTAATTAAAAATAAAATAAAATTCTCTTGTTTTTTAAATATTGTAGGCACACTATATCATTCCGAAACATGGGATTTATGTTTAAGACGATGTAATTATTTATATATCGAGTGGTCGAAAAGCTTTTAGACAAGATTTGCGTTTATTTTTGATACACTAAAAAGTACTTGCAACGAGTCAGAAGCTATGAGTTTATGCTCCTTTGGTCGATAGACTTCGAAATTTTCTCTCAGTTTTTGTTCGAGAGTAGTCAAATAATCTTTGAAAAGCTAAAAACAAATGAGTTTGAACAGTAAACTTTTGTGTTTTCACTGTTGCAATTCGAAGCTCAAAGTTGGAATCTTTATTTTTATATTTTCTTGTCGATCAGAAGTTACCCTACGAAATACACTAGTTGAACTTTGCTTTTGTCTTTCGACAACAAAAAAAAGAATACTTCAGTAACAGTTACAACTTAGTTCAATATGAAATTTTGTAGGAAAGTATCCGCTCTGCAAAATAACCGACTCCGACAATTTTTAGCATGTTTGAAAAGGGTCTTATAGAGTAAAAATTCATAGCTTTTCACTCGTCAGAAACAAACAAACACCTTGTCTAGAAATGTTCCGATCACCCATTGCAATAACTCCCAAACTTGTTCGCTCACGTTTATTTTCAATATTGTCCACTATCGTACGCGTCAATAAAAATTCAAATAGTGATAATCTTACGAGGAAGGCACAAAAATGGGTCTCGGAAAATTGCTCGTAAGGACACTCGCTCGTGGATGTGGGTGCAGGTCTTCTCATCATTCACACTCATATCTGCAGCCGTGTCAGCAAGTATTCTAGTGAGCAACTGTTCGACAAACTATTGTTCTGGACCCATTTGTTGTGCCTTTCGTAAGACTGTATCTCGGCGAGAAAACATTGTAGAGAGCTGAAAGATATTTCGTTTCATAGAGAAACATTTGTTCTATCATTCTGGATCATTGAATTAGAATTGAAGGCGATGAAAAACTTGGATTACGATCCTTCAGAGATTCGATCTTTGGAGAACTAGCAATGATTTTTGTCTTCGAAAAATCTTGTTAGAAATAAAATTCTCTATACAAGTCACTAATTGGATTTTTATTAGCATTATGAAAATCGAAAGAAAATTGAAAATAATCCTGGTCAAGAATGTTGAGAGTCATTATATGTTAAATTTGTTCTTTTTTTTTGTTCAAAGGGTTAAAATTAGAAAAAGATTTTTATAATGTACAAAAAGATAAATTTAATATATCAAAAGTTCCTGATATATATGATTCAATAAAATATGATTTACTTCATAATAAAAATATTCTTCAATTTTCACATGCTGAAGATTTATATGTATGTTCAAAAGCATTAGGTGATATTGTTGTACCACAAGTAATAGAATTTTTTATTTTGTGTAAATGAAATTAAAAGTTTAAAAAAAAATATTGTAGGAATATGGAATGACGATTGAAGAAAAATTAAGTATTGCTCGGGGAATCATTACACCGTTACTTCGAAAAATTCGAGCAGGTAAATAATAAAATATTTCTTTCATTTTCGAAGTTAATAAGGTCAGGTTAATTCTGATGTATAACGTAATGTACGTAACAAAGGTGAATAATAAACATCTGTGCCCATATTTTTTCTTTTGTTTTTTTATGGCAGACAGAAATGTTTGTCTATATCTGTAATAAACGAGATAATTACCTTTCTCATTATAGAATTCAATGTTTATTAACTATTTTATTCTTGAAAACAAGTAATTCTTATCTAGAATAACTTGTTTTTAAATGAATCATTGATAACAGAAAAAAATAAAATATTAACAGTTGGATTTTTTTTTTCGTCGAAATTCTCATTGTCATATCAATTTTCAATTAAGTTATGCATAATGCATGCAATGATAATTGATAAATTTTATTTTTAAGAATTAGTATCGTCAAGTGTTATATATGTGTTAGTTTCTCTCATCATATATTTCCTGTGTTTGTTAGGACTTTTCCTTTCGCTAAATATATATTTCGATCTTGTCACTATTGTTATCAATCGTCGATAGACTCTTCCTTGGATAGTTCCAAATCTAGGTACATTTACTATTAGTTGTGTGACATATGATGTGGCAAGCAAACTTACGAGCGTATATTTTCACTCGATTATGATAATTTCAAATATGAACATAAGAAATCTCATTAGATCTTTTTATGATGGTTTTGTAGACTAACAAAAATGTTGTCAAAACCGCTTTGAATCTATTCAGATTATAGAGTAAATCGATTATTGTCTACTATAAGACAATAATCTTTTCCTATTTTCCAAAAAAGCGATTCTGAAGTAAAATAATATCTTCTTGAAAACTTTTCACATTGAAATATTGATATGTAATTATATCTATTGTATGAATTAGAATAGCTGAGCTTTCTGCAAAAAAAAACACGATTTGAAACAGAAATAGTTACTATTTCCAAGATAATTCGACATACTCTATGATCTAAAGATTTTTGACGAATAGTTTTATTCTTTGGAAAACTGACTTTCTATAAAATCAATATATGAAGACTTATTATATCAACATAGTCGATGACCTACAATTGACTAGTTGTCAGTGAGACAGCAATTGATCAGTTAGAAACGTTCGCTCTTTCGTTTGATAAATATCAATGTTTGTTGGATTTAACATTATAAATAAATTTCTATACACAACAACATATTGGGAATCTAACAGTTGGTGCACTTGGTCGAGAAGACCAATCCGCAATATGAATTTATGGAAATTACGAAATCATAATAAAAGAAGGCTATGATGCATACTATCCATTAGTAGACGATCACATATTCGTTTCATAACATCATGATAAGAGATGTACGGAACTAAGTTCTTCAGTCTCGGCTCTGGTAACTTCTTTTCTATGTAGTGCATTGCTAATGATGTTTTAAACAAGATCTTTAATCGTATACTTTCGTATTTGAGCTATTGATGTTTTTATTCAGATAAAACAATGGATAACGGGAGTTTTTCACTATGATCTTTCAGATGCACTAAGTCTCGACCTCAAAATCTGAGTTCAGATTTTTGAATTGCTGAAGAGTCAGGAATTTTGTGTTTAAAAATAAGGGTGTCAGTTTCTAGTTCCGTGTCTAGAAACAAGAACGTAGAATATAGTTTTCATTTCTAGGTCTGAATCCGGAAACTGACATACTTAGTGCACCGTCTCAGTTAAAATTTAGATAACAGATCAATTCTAGTGTTTCATACAAAACCGATAAAAACAATTTTATTGTATTCTCAATCAACCTAAAAAATTTCGAAAAGTTATTCTACCTATCGTAAACAAGCAGACGCTACATTTTAATTCTCTCTCTCTAGATCTTCAATGTAATTTAACCGGTGTTTTAACTCATGATGAACATGTTAATAAATTGGATCCAAGGTAAGTAAACTAAATATAGGAAATTTTGATTATATTAAATTGACTTTTTTTTTTCTTGTATTTTAGTTATTCAAAAGGTATTCAATCACCAGGTCGACATGTTCGTACACGATTATATTTTACTAGTGAATCTCATGTACATTCCCTTCTAACATTAATACGTTATGGTGGTTTATTAAATGTAAAAATGAATTTGTCTATTACAAAGAAATTTTTCTTACATATATTTCTTTAGACATCAACTGATGAACAATGGAAACGTTCTATGGATTATCTTGATACAGTTTCAGAATTAAATTATTTAACACAAGTTGTTATTATGTTATATGAAGATTCAAGTGAAGAAGAAGATTCTGAAAAACGTTTTCATGTTGAATTACATTTTTCACCTGGTGCTTATGGTTGTTTTGATGTACCACCTGAGGTAATTAATTAAATATCAATTAGGAATTTCAACAACAAAAAAAAAACAATCTTCTTCTTCTTTAGATTGATCGGGTTACTTCCGATGCCAATACTATTCGTACAGTTTTACCTAAAAGTAATCGAGAAGCAGCTCATAGTCCACCACGACAACAAACAAAATCACCTATATTAGATTCATTATCAGAAACAACTCCTATACCAATAACAAAACCAGCAAATCAAATACCTACGATTGTTACAGTTGATTGTACTTCTCCAACTATAAATACAGAAAAAATAAAAGCAACAAAAGTTACAGAGCCAATGTTATTGAAAAATCATCATAGACATAGTGATGGAATAATAGCACAGGGTGCGTCTGAACCAAATGATTTTGATGAAATATATTCAAATTCTGCACCACGTATATTCATAAATCCTTTTTCCTTACGATGGAACCATCCCAACTGACGCTCACCGTTCATATTGGACTCATAAGAAGCTATCAGTGAAATTAACAAAAGTCTGAAAGGGTTCGTGCCCATAGGCATTTGGTGCCGAGTGATAACCGTTCTACTCGATTTTCAACCCATTTTTATAGATATTCACCGGAAATTCAAAAAACGGAATTTCCAAAAAATGGTCGTTTATCACAAAAATCGAGTTTGCTTGAAAATTCAATATCTCGACAAAGGAACATTCTTTTCAATTGAAACTTTCAGGATATTCTAAAGATCATTAGATTCATCTGCAGGCAAGATTTTAGGTCGGAATTCTGTTTTTTTAATTGTTTGGTGAATATCTAAAAGTGGACCGAAAATTCAATAGAACAGTCATCATTCGGCGCCAAAAGTCCATATACATGAAACCATTTTGATTTTTGCTAATCTCACTGATATCTTCTTGTCGATCCAATATGAAGGACGAGTCTGAGTTGGAACGGTTTCCTAATTCAAATAATGAAATAATTTTCTTCTAGGTTCAACTCATTATGATAATTATCTTTTAAAACCAAAATCTCTTGAAAATAATGACTCAAAATTACAACGTAAGTTCAAATTTATGAAATCAATATTTTTATCTTTATTTTTAGCTAGTTTATTCTTTTAAAAAGGCAAGATTCTTCTTTTTTCTCTTATGATTTCTTACATGGAAACTAACACATATAATCAATTTATTATATTGATAAGATGGTTCTAATTTCAATCCCAGCGGGATCGGAATTGGGACCAAAGTTTTTTTTGATCGGCACCAAAAATAATTGGTGCTATCATGAAAAACAAAAATTTATATAATCCTATCTTCTGTATAAATACTTTTTTTCTAACATTGGGGCGTGTTGCTTCATACTTCTAGAATTAACACTACAACAGTCCACATCATCTTCTTTAATTTCTACTGAAATTCATCGCAAGTCAAGTACAACACTTGGTCTTTGTCCATCAAAAGCTCATCTTCGATTTTGTTTATTACCTAGTCTTGAACTTTCACGTCGAAATTCGGGTACAATATTAGTGTGTATGAAGTGTAGATTTGGAAAAAAAAACATGTTTGATTCACCTTCTTTTCTTACCCATTCATTAGGAATGAAGCTTTTGTTTTAAACATATAATTTGATTTTCTTAACGTCGATTAGTAGTTATCCTTTGTCTTCCTTACTAAATGCTAATATGTAAAATAATTACTTATCTATTTCTTAATGTAATATTAACTTTAAAAAACATTTTTTTCTTAAATTATACAAAATTTTTAGAATCAATATTAACACACAATTATTATAATACAATTCATGGTGTTTTACCGGATAAAAGAAAATGTATGTTTGATTTATTTGAAAATAAAATTGAAAATATTGATTATATTTTCAGATAATTATGTTCCATTAACTAGTATATTTAGTACACGAGTAATTACTGGTGCAAAATCAACACCCGATCTTAATAAATTACTCGAACGAAAACAAGCAGGACGTATGTATATTTATATAAGCTGGAATTTATATTGTCTTGAAGCTAGAAAATAATTGTTTGAAGTTGATGCAAAACATTCCTTTTGATTTCAATTGAATAAAAACAACTACCAGTTAATTGTTCAGTATACTGCATGCTCTGTCGGCAGTAGTTTTTTTTTCTTAAACAATTGACTATCCTCTGATCGCCATTCTATTGCATTATTTTCAGACTAATTAAGTTTTCTTTAATCTAGAAAACATAGTTCTCAGATGAACAAATCATCTATACTTCCGATCTCAAATATCGAATAGATGGAAGAGTAGTTATTTATAAGTACTAGTGAATAAAAGACAAGTCTAGAGTGATTGGATTTTTCGAATCTTCGTTCTTGAGATATCGAGATTTTACTAGATTTTTAATAACAGATGCAATGCTTCTCAAGTCATGTGAAAAATCAACTTTCGAATTTTAACTTCAAACTTTGCACGAACAAAGTTCTTACGAGGGAACATATGCAAGTGTAAAAAATCTTTTGAGTTCGGACTCTGTACATAAGGTAGACCCCAGTGAGCTATGAAAAACCCTAAAAGGATAAAGGCTGTTAGGTCTTCTGTCCAGAGTTACAGGTATTTTACTGGAATTTTAGCCTATGGCATGATATATACCAACAAATCGAATGATTGTATTTCGACCTGA